CAGAGAGAGGCAGAAGTGGCAGAGAGGCCCCCATCCCTTTTTCCTAATTTTTTTCAATCTTCTAACAGGGAGCAACAGTTGTAAGCGTGTGGAAGGTTCATAAGTGTCTGTGGGACTTTGCTAAGCTGGTAATTTTTTTTTTTCCCAGTAACTTGGAAGCATAACAGGGTAAATTTATATAGGTAGGCAGCAAGGACTTCTAACGCCTGAATAGCTTGTTAGCTTTGCCGTGAGGTATCCTTGTTAAATGTACTGGTTTAGTGACAGCTTGCACTGGAAATTGTTGGTTTCCTGGGGTGAAATATTCAGTACGGAGAGATCACGTGGGCTGGGCAGAGGTGGATGTGCATGCAGCACCATGTGTCTTCAAAAGGGGCACCAAGTTTTTGTTTTAAAAATGACTTTTAATGTATTTTGAGGTAGCAGAGCACCCAAAGTCCCGGGGGTGGCTCCCTCAGCCTGTTTGAGGGGGTTTCCCAGCAATGTTTCAGAAAGATAAATTTCCTGACTGGTTAAAACAGACTTTGCTTGTGCAGGGTGAGTACTAGGCCCTTACCCTGGGGAGCAGCTGGTTTCTGGGGTCCCACCAGTCAAATATCAATCAAAATTATCATCAAAACCCTTCAGTTCCAGTTAAACCTCATTTGAGGCTTGTGGGAGTAGAAGACCTTGTCTGATGAAGGGTCGGTGCTGCGACCCTTGGCTGGGGTCTGCAGAAGGACCCTCCCCGGGCTGCCGACACGAACGCTGCCCCGGCTGCCGCTTGGCGATGGTCTGTACTCTCTTCTCCCGACTCACGGCTGCGATTAGACTTGGAAATGAAGATGGTTAAAATATTAATGGCTGTGTCAAGGCAGCATGCGGAGGGCGCGTTTCCTTGGCGCATTATTCGCCCTGCTGAAAGGCCGGGGATGAGCTCTAATGCGAAGGTTGGTTTAGGTAAAGCATTTGAAATGTTATGAAGGTGTATGCTAATTTAATTACATATAAATTAGGCAAAGCCAAAAGTAATGGACTGAAACAGTGGGGTTGCTGAGAATTGACTCTTCTGCTACCGAGGCTGTGGCAGTTGGGAATCCCTGGTTGTGCAATGGATGCTGCTGTTTGGGTTATTTTTTGGAGTGCTTGATGTAGTTACACCCTCACTTCTTAAAATTCAATTTACCATTTGACTTTTTCCTCTGGAAATGACTCAGAATTCAGTAGTTTTTTCTTGCCTCTGGTTTTGTTTAGCTGAGCAATGGGAAGATTATTTTTTCAGTAAAGCAAGCCAAAACCAAAGTCCTTTGACTCTGAAACAGCAGCAGGTTTCCACATCTTTGGACCCAGTGAAGTAATTCACGCGGGTACAGGTTTGTGTGCAGTGGGGAAAGGGGATTGCTCCAATCAGCTCCAAGCTAGGTACAAAAAAACCCCACGTATCCAAAACAAAGGAAAACCAAACCTAACAGTGATGATTTCTTATTCCCCCTATTTCTCCCCCTTCTTCTCCCCCTCCTTGCATGCACTTTGGTCTTGAGGCTCTGGCATGGCAATAGATAACATTGCAGGGCCATGCAGGTCACAGTCTTCCCACTGGAAAACAGTTTGGATGCGGCATTTCTTGACTGCAAGAAATGGGATTTGATCTCCATTAGGTGCTGCTTTAAAGCATCACCCAAGTGGTGATTTCGGCTCCTCCCTGCTCTGTGAGCCATCCCTTGATATGTTCCCCAGGGATATACTCTATTTTCTTTTTTCATGCCCACCTTTCTGCTGCCCCACTGCCTCTTCTCTGCTTTCTCTCCCGCTTACCATCACCCCTTCTCTTCCAGCAGTACATCTGCCTCATCCTGTGAGGTCCCCCTGAACCTACAGGTTCCATGTTTCCATGTATTACTCCATTTGTGGACAAGGCCTTATTATTTTTATAAGGATGACTCTTGCTAGGATTGGTTTTATGGGGCTTCAGTTCCTAAAAACAACTGAAATGAGATTTGAGGACCAGAGCATGGCATCCCCTTTCATGCACAACCCTCAGCTCTGTCCCTGCACCATTAGACAGAGGTTTTCTAACAGCTCTCGGGGCTGGGGTTGACCACATCAAGGGAGGCATGAGCTGCAGCCACCCAAAAGGAGAGCTGTCCTGGAAAATCACCCATTGTCCTCCAGCAAACCATGAACCTCGCTGGTGTCACCGTCGGGGGACAGGCAGCCAGCGCCTTGCCTGGCATGGGCAGTGGGCTCCAGCAGAAGAACCGCTCCCACCAGCTCTTGACAACCATCTCCAATTTTTCCAATCTTGAGAACCCTCATTTTGTTCTGCCCTTCCTAAATATCCCTCTTTCCCCCTCAATCCTTACTGCTTTAAGCAGATGGTGGGACTATTATATAACTGAGCAGAAGGCTTCGTTAGAAAATTTAGCCAAATCGGGCACTTCTTCAGATAAGACTAAACAACAGCTCTTTTCTGGGGGTTTTGGCCCTCCTTGTTCTACTTCGAGTTTGGAGGATGAAGTTTTTCTAGGGGAGACATCAATGGCAATCTTCCCCAATTATTAACAAC